AGATGACTGATGATGAAGACTACTGATGATGAAGATGACTGATGATGAAGACTACTGATGATGAAGATGACTGATGATGAAGACTACTGATGATGAAGATGACTGATGATGAAGATGACTGATGATGAAGACGACTGATGATGAAAACGACTGATGATGAAGACTACTGATGATGAAGACTACTGATGATGAAGATGACTGATGATGAAGATGACTGATGATGAAGATGACTGATGATGAAGACTACTGATGATGAAGACTACTGATGATGAAGACGACTGATGATGAAGACGACTGATGATGAAGACGACTGATGATGAAGACTACTGAATGTTACGATGAAGACTGCTGATGATGAAGACTACTGAATATTTGTGTCCTGCTACTTGTAGCTTCTGATTATGTTCGGCTGCTTTTTATCCTCTGTTCTGCTGTTTCCATCTTATAGCTTTCAGCTACTATTTGCTCATTTAGATACTTCTACATAGTATTCTGCTACATTTAGCTAGTCTTATGCTACTTTCAGATTTTAGCTAGCGTTTGTCTACTTCAGATTTCAGATCTCTTTTGAAACTTTTAGCCAGCATTTTGCTACTTTTTAGCTAATATTCTGCTTTTTTTAGCTAGACTTTTACTACTATTATCTAGGCTTTTTTCAGTTTTAGCTTCTTGCTAGAATTTTGCTCTTTTTAAATAAAGCTTTACTGCTTTTATSTAGTTATTTGCTAGTTTTAGCTTTCAGCTAGAATTATAGCTATTTTTGCTACTTTAAACTTTTTGCTAGTCTTTTGTTATTTTTAGCTTTTAGCTAGTGTTTTGCTCATTAAAATTTGAGCTAGCATGTTGTACCTTTTAGCCATTAGCTACTATTTGGCTCCCTTTATCTTTTAGCTACACTTTGGCTACATTTTTGCTAACATTTGCAGCTTTTAGCTGGAACATTGCTTTGTTTTCTTATGCTCCGCTTTTATGCTTTTGATAATTTTGCTAAAATTTTGCTTATTTTAGCTAGCATTTAGCCATTTGCTACTTTTAGCTAGCCTTTTGCTACAAAATACACAAAACCCTGAACAGTTGTGCGACTGACCMGCTGTTTGTTTGACTTTGTCCTTTCTGGAGGACAGGAGGGGACACGTTGGACACATTTGGAAAGAGGACAGAAACGTTTGTGATGTGGATGAAGAATCTTCCTGTCAGCAGATCTGTGCTCAGCGTCGGTCAGGAAAATAAATATTTGACATTTCTGTCGTTCCTGTTAAACGATCGCACAATTTAAGAATCAGAAACTCATTTTGGTTTCTCTTGAATTTTTGGAATTTGAGATATTTTGCTCGGCAGCTTGGGATTTTTTTAAACCAAAGAGTCAATTATTGTAGATTACGGGTTCATAAACTCTTTTTATGTTATTATTTCTGACACACACAGTAAGACAAGCAGAGACTGGCCTCAATAACAAAATATAAAAAACATTTTATTTGTTTATTTCAACTCAAAATAGTTTTAAAAACTTGAATTCTTCAACTTGTTTCTTGACATAACGACAGAAACTTCAGTTTAGCTGATGAATGACAGCTGAAATTTGTTAGCTATTTGAATTATTTCTGTCAAAACAAGCAGAAATGTCAACAAAACAGTAGCTAAAATGAGCTAAACAGTAGATAATAACTAAAAAATATAACTTTAATATAACTTGTTATATTATGTTGTACTCTTTAGAGTCTATTTTAGCACACTTGCTTCATTTTTAGCTTTTTTAATTCTGCTCATTTAACTTTTCAGGCTTTGCAAATTAAAGCTTTTAGCTACTGTTTTGTTAGTTTTAGTTTTTAGCTAGGTTTATTGGTTTTAGTTGCTGTTTTGTTGGTCATAGCTTTTGCCTGTTGTTCTGCTAGTTTTAGCTATTTGCTGCCATTCTGCTAATTTTTGCTAATGTTCTGCTAATTTAAAAATTTAGTCACTGTTTTACTAGTTTTAGCCTTTTAAAACCATTCTGGTAAAATGAGCTACTGTTCTGCTAATTTTAGCTRTTAGTTATTTTGCTAGTTTTACTTATTTGATGCTATTTAGCTAATTTTAGCCACTGTTTTGCTGGTTGTAGGTATCATTCAACTACTGTTTTGTTAGTTTGAGCTTTTAGTTACTAGTGTGCTAATTGTAGCTTTTAGCTTCTGTTTTGTTAAWATTGTATTTAAGCTAGTGTTTTGCTAGTTTTAGCTACTAAATATTTCTGTTACAGTCTGTTGTTTGTTTGCTAAAGCCAGCTAGCTGTGGTGGCCATCTTGAATCAGGTTGACTCCAGTAAAATTCTGATATTTTGCTAACAGACAGACATCACGCKGATATTTTTAACTCAGTGGACGAACTAAAAGAACCCCCTGGAGGTTCTGGTCTTGGTTCTGGTTCTACCTTCTGGACAACAGATGTGTTCCAGCTGTTTCCCGGCGGTCCCTTGATTCCGGCAGAGGCCTGACGTCACCCGGATGGCAGGTGGTCTCGGTCCCCCTGGGGTTGAGGAGGACACAAGCCCCGCCCCCTCAGGGTCTCAGCTGTGGACGGGTGGGGGATAATGGCTCCCCCAGCTCCAGAGCCATTAGCTTTAATTACCACGGTCCTGTTGAAGCTGAGCCTCCTGCAGCTTTGTGTCAGAAACAAGTTTCAAATAAAAACTGAACTTTGAGCTTAAAGAAAATCACGTTTTTACAGGAACATTTATTGTAAACACAAGCCAAACTAATTATTTTGCATTTTTATTGGTTTTTCCTTTTAATTGCGTGTTTTTCTTTTAGCTTATAGTTACTGTGTTAACCTTAGATGTTTTGCTCATTTTAAATTTTAGCTACTGTTTGGCTGCTTTAGGTGTTAGCCAAAGTTCAGCTAATTTTAGGTGCTGCTTTCTCAAAATTAGGCCTTTAGCTACTATTAGGTTGGTTTTTTTTTTGGCTGTTTTAGCTTATAACTCTTCATATTCTTAATGTTAGCTGTTTGCTAAAGTTGAGCTAATTTTAGGTACTGGTTTCTCAAAATTAGGCCTTTAGCTACTTTTTTTTTTTTTGGCTGTTTAATTTGTTAATTTTAGCTTATAACTCCTCTTCATATTCTTAATGTTAGCTAAAGTTAAGCTAATTTTAGGTACTGGTTTCGCAAAGTTTGGCCTTCAGCTACTGTCAGTTTATTTTCTTTTGTGGCTGTTTAATTTGTGAATTTTAGCTTATAGATCCTCTTCATATTTTTAGACGTTAGCCGTTTTGCTGTAAGCTAAAGTTTAGCTAATTTTATGTGCTGGTTTCTTAGTTTGCCCTGGTTTTAATCTGGATTTATTGGCTTTAGCTAATAACTGTTTACATTTGTTTGCTGATTTCAGCTGTTAAAGTTTAGGTGTTTGTTGCTTTTGCTAGCCTTTAGTTTTAATCTACATCTTTACTGGTTTTTGTCAATTTTAGCTCTGTGCGCTAACAGCTTTTAGCTGACGTTTTATAAAATTTCAGCTACTGTTGTGCAAATTTTAGTTTTTCCAGACTTGTTTATAAATCTTAAACCACTGGCTGGGTTTCTCTCAAGGTTTATTTTTAGTTAGCTGAATTCAAGATGGCCACCAGCCAATTTCAAAACCCAAAAGGGACTAAATCAGCTAAAATTAGGTGGGGTAGCAGCTGTAAGAACCAGATTTGCAAAATAAGGGGGAAAAAAAATAAAAACACTTGTAGTGAGTCAACTCATTAGCAATATCCCATAAATGATTTTTAATGAWAGCAAAAAGAAAAACATAATTTGAAGCTTAGCACAAAGTTTTGGCTGCATATTCTGGCAGGAAACACTTGCTTTTCTACATTTGTGGTTTTATTAAAGATTTAAATATAAAGTAAAAATGTTAAAAACTCCACAAATTAGTCATTTGTTGAAATTAAAGCCACGTGAGGACAGAAGGTCTAACTAAACCAAACAAGTTTCAAAACCTCTTCATCACTTTGCAAAAGCTGAAGGAACTGGTTTACTCTCCTGAACCCACAGCGCCCTCTGGTGGCAGAATCTGAACAAAACCCAAAAACAAAAATCTGGTCGAAACCATTTAATAGAATTTAAAAAAAAAAAAATTACAATCAAGTCACTAAAAACGCATCACTGTACACGTTATACAAGTCACTCCCAACATGAAAACAATAAAAACAGTAAAAAGCTAAAGTTTTACAGCTACTGGACTTCAGGTTTTTTTGAAGAGGTGCCACAACCAAAGAGGTCTGTAAACATTGACACATCTTCAAAAGTAAAAGTCCAAAGTGTTAAAATACATTTGTACAAGTCAGCACACGGTGCCAGGGATGTCGGCTCACTGGGCGAGCTTCTTGGCGAACTCTTTGACCACGGAAGATTTGAGCTGCGGGATGGTGGCGATCCTCATCTGCTTGGACGTGGAGTACTTCCCCTTCACCGCCTGGAGATGACGCGCCGTTAGAGGGGCAGTCGCTACGGTCAGGTTGTGTTACGGTCACGTGCACTCACCATGTGTTTGGTCAGCCCGTCGTTCACCTTCACCACGTTCTTGGCGATGTGCGCCATCACAGGAATCAAACTCTCTGCCGTGTAGCCCATGTAGTGCTGCAGCGTCACGTCCTGGAAGACAAGCCCCGCCCCCGAAGATGTCAGAACTTCCAGTTTTATTCAATCTGCAGATTTGATTTTGGAGCTCATACACACCCAGTCGCCCACATCCAGGATCTTCAAGGTGAGAGCCAGAGCGGCACTCGCCACCATGGAGGGCGGGAAGTGGACCATCTCATAGTCCACCATGGTGAGCTCCAGCAGATACTTAGCCAGGGTGTGCTGCTCAGCCGTCACCTGCAGGGGAGGGGTCACGTCAGAACCAGGGGAGGGGTGATGTCAGAACCAAGGTTTGGGATTTATTAGAGTTTAGTTTACTTCATTGTTAGTTTTTAAAGTGGATTTGCCAATTAATGCATTTTTAATGCTTAGTTTTATTAGTTTGAACAAACATTTTTGCAATGTTATTAAGTACCTCAAAATGGTACTTGAGTAAAAGTACACATATCATAATACTTGGTAAAAGTTAGTCTTCTCTAAAAATGTTACTTGAGTAAAAGTCTGATATTTTTTGTACTTACGTAAGTATCAAAACGTAAATTTCTGACAAAATCTACTCAAGTATTAAAAGTAAAAAGTACCGAGTAAAAGTGAGCAGTTAGATTTTCAAAAAATAAAATTGGGAGGTGACTTCTCCAAAAAAAAAATTTTTTTAACAGCGTGCAGCTGTCATGGGTTGTGTACAAGCTAATAGTGTGTCAGAATGGTATATTTATACTTCTCATCCAACCACAATTAAATTCACTTTTTATCCAGGAGACACTATTTATCAGTATAGTATTTTTTTTAAGTAATAACTCAGAATAAAATAGGAGTAACGACTTTCTACTTCTTACCTTTTACTTTTTTTAAAAGTAAAAAAGTACACTGAAAAAAAATTACTCAAGTAAAGTACAGATAACCAAAATTTCTATTAAGTACAGTAACTAAGTATTTGTATTTACTTTACAACTCTTGCATTTTTTTGCTAATGCCCTCCTCAAGCCTGTGATGTTACTTTAAGTTAAACAGTTTAGTCACTAGTTAAATCAGTTCATCATCGCGACATCTTCCTAAAATAATTGTGTAACTCAGTTTTATCAACTTGGTGATTATTTTAGGACGATGACAATAMTTGTCTCCAACCTGCTGCTTCCTGTTTGTTTTTCATGGAGCTGCTGAGAGAAGCTAGCGTGTCAGACAGTCATAGTTAGCATCTTGTGCGAGTTTGATTCATGCAGTTTCCTTTGAGAAGTTTTCCACCTGTTTTATCACCTGTTTCCACTACAAGATACTCGATTTGATTTTTCTCAGTCATATTCTAAGAAACGTTGCTGCTTTCTAACTTTTGTTGTCGTCATTTAGCAGCAGACTGTAAACAAGTGTT